GTGTGTGTTTGTGTGTGTGTGTTTTGTGTGTGTGTGTGCATGCATGTGCGTACGTGCATGTGCGTGCATGTGCGTGGGTGCCTGCGTGCGTGCGCATGCATGCGTGCGTGGGTGCCTGCGTGCGTGGCGGTGGGTGTGTGTGTGTGTGTGTGTCGTTTGTGTTGTGCGTGGTGTGTGTGTGTGGCCTTTGCGTGTTGTGTGTGTGTGTGTTGTGTGTGTTGTGTGTTGCGTGTGTGTGTTGTGTGTGTGTTGTGGGTTGTGTGTGTGTGTGTTGTGAATTGTGTGTGTTGTGTGAGTTGTGAGTTGTGTGTGTTGTGTGTGTGTGTTGTGTGTGCGTGTGTGTGTGTCTGCGTGTGTTGTGTGTGTGTGTGATGTGTGAGGTGTGTGTGTGTGTGTTGTGTGTGTGGTGTGTGAGGTGTGTGAGGTGTGTGTGTGTGTGTGTATGGGTGTGTGGTGTGTGTGTGTGTGTGGCATGCGTGGTGTGTGTGGTTTGTGTGGTGTGTGTGGTTGTGTGTGTGTGTGTGGTGACTGTGTGTTTGTGTGTCTGTGTGTGTGCGTGTGTTTGTGTGTGTGTGTGTGGTTGTATGTGTGTGTGTGTGTGTGGTTGTATGTGTGGGTGTGTGCTTGGTTGTTTGTTGTTTTGTTTGTTTATTTGTGTTTGCGTGTCGGTGTGTGTTTGTGTGTGCTTGTGCGTATGCATGTGTGTGTGTGTCTGTGTTCGTATGTGTATGTATGTATGTATATATATATATATACATATATGTGCCATATGTGCGTTCGTGCCTGCGGCTGCTTGTGAAGTTTACAGTTTCCTCTCCGTGGTGACACTTTGTGCATCCATTGTTACCCCCATTTTTGCATCATCCGCGCCACGCGGGACTCAAAGATTATTCCCTCAGTTTTAAGCAAAGTGCATGTTGTTGGGAATTTTAGTGGTGTGGATATGAGGTTGCTCCGACGTGCTAAAATAAGCTTGGGAGCTTGAGCATGCTGCTGACCGTGATTGACTTGAATGCTTCACACGCAATCTTCCGACAGACAACTGCGAGGTGTCTCAGCTTCGGGCCGAACTCGCCACATGCCGGGCTTCATCCGAGGCTCCTGGTGGTTTGGTATTGCGGCAAAGTGCGAACGGCTTTTTTACGCATCTCCAAACCTTGAATCGTTAGCTTTGCTCATGCATGGTGTGTGTTGCATACTGCGAATCCTGCCTCCAGCTCCCCCAACAAGCACGGTAACGTGACTTTGGGGTTGGTTCACGTACAATGTTGAAATCATGTTTCATGGTATCATTGCCCCGCCAATTCTGCAGACACCTTTGCTTTCGCCTGGAAGACAATACAAAGGCGTTTATGTACAGCCACTGGAAGTGTGCCATGCGATGATGCCCTCATGCAGCTTTTTGTGAAGCTCCTCTTGGAGGTCCATGCTGATTTGTCACAGTTTTGTATAGTTTTGTCGTTGTCATGGTTTCTACCTATGTTCTCCGCGGCTCGATCGCAAACTTTCGCAGTCTACTGGTACGTCGGGCGCGCCCCTTGGGCCAATGAGTTTTCGAATCCGATTGGGGTCGGACCCAGCTCGCAGTCGCAGTACACACTCATTGGATATGCACAAATTCACCGCTTAGCCGACTGGCAGAGCTCATTTTTCAGAAATAGAAATCTTTAGTAAGCACAAATCCGTACTGTAGATCTGACAGTGCATGTTTTGGACGAGATTTGTGATGACTTCAGGCTCTGCGTATCTCTGGGTGCTCTACGTCTAAGTCTGAACAGGTACAAAACTGAACAGTTTGCTTCCGAGCGGTTGAAGCTGACCATGAAGCTTCGGAAGGTTGTTTGAGGCTGCTCAATAATTCCTGTTGTGGCGCTTCTGAGACTCTACGCTCTCCAAGCCGCTGGCGTAACAGCCACGAGGCCAGCTCTTGCTCAGCAACTGTGCACGGTGCAGTGGCTACTGTATCACCAGACACAATCGGGCAGGGCAGACCGTAGCTGAGCAGCAGCAAGAACTGGCACTCAACTCATTGGTGCGATTGAAGCACCACAGCACACCACAGCACAGCATGAACGACGGTCTTGGCGGACGATATCCGATATTTCCAGCGTAAGCCTGAGGCATGAGCATTCGACAGTTGGCATCGCTACATGTAGCAGCATGCCTGCCACAAGTCAAGTGTTGCCGCTAGCATGAATCCTGAAAGATCTTGTGAGGGAGATGCAAAGAAGTAAGGCAGGCCAGCACTCGCGCCAGTACTCGGTGTGAATAATGATTTTCACGAGACTCAATGAAAACATGTAAGACATGTCGTCGCCAAAATGCGAGCAGGGTGTTCACAGGCCTTCACCCGCACCGGTAGTTGCAAGATCTGAGCGCAATGGACAACTTGTAGTAGCTGTCCCAGGCACAGGGAGATCTTTGCGAGACGTCGGACTTCCTAACTGTCCGAACTTCGACCTCTGTGCAGGTCGCTACATGCTAAGCAGCAGAACATGGCAACTATCTTGCCAACGTTGCGGCCTGCGCACTACCACTGTGTTCACCAAGACTCCACGTTTGTGCTGGAATTGCTTCAACTTCAACCGAACTTCTCGGAGCTTCCTGAAATGATGTGAGTTCACCCGTGAGCATGACGGCCTAGCCTTGGAATCGACCTCGCGTGCACGTGCGATTTCTCTAAGCACACATGTCGGGTGACCGGCGTGGATGTTCCTGCCGCGATCCGATCGTACAAACATTGATTATGGTCCATGGTATCATGTATCAGTATGGTTGGGCAATGGTTTGACTGCATGGCGAAATGTAGATGTGGTGCTCAAAGCCGGCCCCGATAGGATTCCGACATCTCAGAGTTGCTGGCTGGCAGATCTTGTCAGCATGAAGTTATTTCGACAATGGCTGACAATGCAAGTGATCCTGTTCAGTTCACAAACCCCGGCAGGTGTTCAGTGTAACTATCTGGCAGCGCGTCATGCTTGCGATGACTGACATCAGCCGAGATCGTGGCCAGGATTCGCTTGCCCATGCACTGCTTCATGCCACGGTGGGAGCAACCACGGCAGCCGTCCCAGCTTTTTCCGAAGAGAGGCATGGTTCTCAGGCCTGTTCGGTTTGTGTCTATCAGAATTCGTTAGGTGCGAGCTGTGACGAATGGCTACCACGGGGCTGACTCCATCTCCAGCTGGGAGGCACGGAGTTCCCTCTCCAGCCGGGATCTTTTCGACCTCTGTCTGTCTCTCTCTCTCTCTCTCTCTCGCTGTTCAGGTTGCATCTTAGACTTAGTGTGTTGCTCACGTCTTTTGCGTGCCATAGCGATATTGGGACGGTGTGGTCTTTTCGTGACATACGGAAAGGGTGCAACGAGGAGACTTGACATTCGCCAACTGACTACCTATGGCTTCATCGCCGTTGATCACTATTGCTGGATTGGCTGCTTCCTGCGCTGAAGTTCATGCAGGTGCGGCACAGCAGAGACGGCCGAGAGCAGCCTGGTTCTTGATGTCCCAACCAGCGCACAATAGCGCACCGTGGATCTACTGGATATGCCTCCCCATCCACCGAGGCTGTCGACCCTGCTGCAAAGCAGCTCCATTGCTGTGGCCTCCTTGTTGAAGCAGGCCCACACTTTTACGTCTTTCTTCACATGTTCAAGTTATCAGCCTGCACTTCCCCGCTGCAAGCACAGGTGAGGAGGCTTGATGATGCGCACCGGACCCTGGCGGGCGAAGGCGCATCGTTGGGTGACAAGATTGTGATCGCGGATGTGTTCACAAGCACTTTGATATACGCTGCTGTATTGCAGCACTAGGAAGATCTAGGAAGGCAATGGCTTAATTAGCCTCCTTGGATGGAGGCTGTCACAGGCGACAGTCTTGACTTCGACTCAAACGGCTGCCACCTTTTTCTTGCGGAGAAGTATAGTATGGAACTCCAGCGTGTTGGCCCCGCTCCTCTATCCGCAAGCTGTGAAGGACACTCGAGGACTGCATCTGTATGGCGACCCTGATTCTTTCTGCATGGCACATGCTGTTGTTTTTCAGTGCTCGAAGTATTTTCCGCTGACTACCCGACATTGAACTTCTTGCTCTTTGCCCCTGAGTTCCATGATTCCACACTGCCCGATGAGTTGTTTTAAAGCGCTTCTCGTGGCACTTGACTCGACATGCGTGGTTTGTTTCCTCCCACTCTTAACTTGCAGAAAGGCCACAACAAGGCATCAGCATCAGCATCAGCATGCATCAGCCACACCTTCCCTTGCCTTTAGCGCCAGGAGGTGACACCAGGGAGCCGGCCTCAGTCTGCACTCGCGGCAGACTTCTGACGTTGTGGATTCTTGAGATTGCCCATCGGTTTCGCCCGGCGAAAGTCGAAGACTTTGGAGCTTGATGCGATCGAGGCCACTCCTGCACAGCTTCGAGCGGTGCGGGCTCTGGAGAAGCAGACCACAATGCCCGGAGCTTAGATAAATGGACAGATGTCGAGCCGATAATTTCCTGAAGCAGCTCTCAGAAGTCCAGTTGCCCATTATTTTGGATTCTCAGATGCAGCATCGAAAAGGAGCGCGAGTCATAGTATGTACGGCACCCTTCAATGCCGCCAGCCGCACTAGGTAGTGAACTCCGTTGCTATGTACCCAGGACCGTTTAAGCTAAGCGAAAATGCATTCGACGTGACAGGTTGGAGAGAACCAACAAAGAGCCGCACTCTGAGAATGGACTCCAGCAGACATGACAGGATCCCGGTGGATGGAAGTTCATGACAGGTCATACGCACTGAGCGTGTGGTCAAGACAGGTAGCAGCACATTCTAGACTGGTTCGTCAAGTGAGTCCTATAGATTCACAGACCTGGCACCGTCCCCTCTCCCGAAATGGTCGGGAGAAGGTTGAGCAAGACATCACTGAAGCTCCGGCTAATCTCTGGTCTTTAGGCAAACCACCATACTTCCAAAACCAACTAGAGTCACTAGAGTCATGTCGCGGGGAGTGGAGCATGTGGAGCCGTGGGAAATTTACGCTCGCATGGATCAGGTGGACGACCTCGCTTGAAGGCACGAGCGAGGAGCTTCCATGGTCCTGTATGTGATTGTTATGGCGCTGTCATGTGCAGGGTGTTGCTGACCTGACCCGTGTTCCTGTGTCTTTTCTGGAGGATGTGGGAGTTCTCATCAACGGCGAGTACGCCAGGTCGGCTGTAGCAGTAGTCAGCAGTCGCCGGGTCTGAAGACTGGCCAGACCGGAGTGTCAGAATACTGCTAACAATTCGAGCATCTCAACGTCGTTAGCTGAGGTGCATGAACTTAATTTTAGGTTACCAACATTCCAGGTTGACGCAGAGCTTACAGCGGTGGTGTGGTGGTAATGGTCGTGGTGTTGGTGGGTGGTGGGGAGTGTCGGTTGACGGTGTGGGTACTTGTGTCTCGTGCTGGTGCCGGTGCTGATGGCGGTGGCAGTGGTGGTGGTTGTCGAGTTTTGCCGCTTATTGAGGGAAGCCCACAGCCACCCAGTGCTTCAAAGATATTACATTGACTGCACCATTTGCGCTTGAACGCCTTGGGATCGGACTGGCTTGACCTTAGCTGATGATATAACCTGGGCAGGGACAATCTGGGACAGGGTTGCAGTGGGCTTTGGTCAGCGGAGAGTATTGAGTCACACATGGACGCACTGGTGGACGGAAGCACGTCGGACTGGGACATTAACACTGGGCCACGCATGGGTGCCTTCGTCAACGGCTAGGGCTAGGGTGGCAATGGCTAGTGTTTGACAGGACGTTTAGAGCTGCTTGTGCATGGGTTGGGGAACACCGTGAAGTCCTGACAAAATCCACATTGGTTGAACAAAGTATACAGCTTTGGCATGTAACATGAGTTGTTTCACTTGCACCTTCCCGATGCTCCACCGCAGGCATGGAAAAAACGGGCATCAAAGTCATGATGTGGAGGACGAGGTGTGCCAGCTGCATTTATAAGAAAGAGGAGCGAGCAGCTATCCTCCTAACCTCGCAGCCACCGCATTGCATTGGTACTGCTTGCTCTGCACATGCACATCTCGTACGGAATTCGAGATCTGAGATTACCGGAACCTGTAAAGTGCCAAGATGTACCAACTTAGACTGAGTTCGGGAACGATCTTGGATCAGCATGTTTCTCAGAACGGAGGTCCCGACATCACCAGCCGCGCGAGGGCAAGTAATGGTGTCTGTGCTTCGACGGACAGAGCCTGGGCTGTAAAAAGGCTCTGGGTGGCTATAGAAATTTGCACTTTACCGTACTCTAGCGCTGTCGGAAGCTGTTCTGAGAGTTACTTGATTGTCTCAGTCGCTGTACTTCTAACTAGACTAAGGAAGGACGGTTGGAGAGGCATGGCCGCGGTTTGACCGTTTCGACTTCTTTTGCCCCGGGCAAGAGCCCAACATTCTGACGGCTGCGGTTTAGCCTTGTGGACGCGAATGACCTGCAAGTGAGTGGTGCCAACCCAATTTCCTCGGAGGCTCCACGAGCGCCTTCTACGTCTTCTGCCTGCATCCGAGGCCCAGATCCCAGGCGCACCAGGCGCACATGTGAACAACGAGCAGGAGTACGTGTCCAGTGCTTCATGGTCCGAGTCATCGCATCACCCACTCACAAGCTCCAAATCAAAGGACAACTTCAGGCAGGGGTCCCTTGGCTGCATCTACCAACACCGGAAAGTGCAGGATGGAGGCACCTGCTGAGTCTGGTGACTTTTTGTTCACGGTTCAGAAAGGAGGCGTCCGCTCACGAGTGATGGCTTCGTTGTGCTCTTAAAGGAGCTGCTAGGCTTCTTCCGCACAGGGACTCCAACCACGAGGACAGCTAGGACAAGCACATGCAGGGGAGAGCAGGGCGCAGCAAGGCGCAATCCACTGCACAGGCAGGTCATTCACGAAGCTCTTAGAAGCTTCCGCATCGAGCCCAGGTCTTTGTCTCAGACGACAGGCTGGTAGGAAACGTTGCTGTGATCACAGCACGGCATGGAGCATCGGCCACTTCGACAAGCACGGCGAAGCTATGCTCACAGGAACAGACATCAGTGGAATGCGCAGTTTGAGCACCTTGTCTTCTCGACTTGCTGAAGCACCTTCAAGTCGCTCATGCGAGACAAGCAGGTCATCCTCTCCATCAAAACCCCTGTTCCGGTTTGTTCCTGTTGTGCTGTGCGCACAGCCAGAGCAGCCTTCCGTACGATAACGAAAGGGCGTTTGTGCTGATCGCGCAGAGCCAGCTGCGAAATGTCTGCTCTGTGCCCAGTGCACTTGCTGCAGGGCGAGTGTGTGACGAAGACTTATCTTATGGTGTGTCCGCACTGTTGTAACCGTCTGTTCAAAACATGTGTGTGGCGCGTCCACACTCTGCCCGCCACAAGTGTTCGACGAAATTCGGGCATTCGGGACCGGCGTGGCTTTTCAATGGAGGAATGATTGCAGTCTGTAGTCGTTCTAAATCATCGCAACGGAAGTTGTAAGAGTCAGCAGCGGCCTAAACTTACCGCGGAGCATGAACGAACGGCTATTGACGGGGCTATGCTTCACTCCTCTGACATATGCGCCAAGAAGCCCTGAAGCAACTGGAAGGTCACTCAGACTTCGTGATCCTCTGAGATAAGCATCGAGCCACAAACTCCTAGGCAGCGTTATTTTGGAGCAGCACATGGCTCCGTCTTCCGTGACACGTGACTGACACACGCAGTGCTGTATTGCAGATACAATGATAGACAGCCGAGAAAGCCTTCCACTAGCTTTGCTAAGCAGTGGTGGAGCATGTCTAATGGGTGGAGTCGCAGGTAGTGAGATCCTGCCTTCTGTCTGATTTTGAACATGAGGGCTGATTGCATGCATGGATCGGCTTAGATGTCACCACGAAGTACTCTGAGGACGAAGACGGATGTCTCCCACGGACCCTGAAGTTGATCTGCTCTTAGGACGCCTCATGAACTCGACCACGTAGTCTGCAAAGCAAGACCTGGCAGCACATCGCCATGTTTCACCTGATAATGCAGCTTCTGTGTTTGACCACGACAAAAGACCCCTTCTTGCCTGTGCCGTAGCAGCTGCACGCTACTGTCACCGGCAATCCGGCAACCGGCTGCAACCTGCTTGCGTCGGTCTTGCTGTTTTACCGCTCTCTCCCAGCTTTAGACACGAGCAGCACGATTACGACAGCCGCACGCAGTTAGCCGTAATTGCAGGTGCTAGAACCATGTATCTGTACATTTTACACAGGAATCATGGGAATAGAACGCACATTCTTTTTGTTTGCTGTGACCTTGCACCACCCTGCAGTCTGCAGCATGTGGAAAGCTTGCAGAGCTTCGATCGTGGGCCCCGGCACCGAGAGTCCGCATAGAATGTTCTGGCCGGACTCTTTGGGCCTTTTCCTACTTTTCCTCTACCTCTCCCGTTTTTGACCAAGACCTCCAAGCCTCCCAGGCCTGCCACCGCTGGAAATTCCTGATTTTAGGGCCCCAGGGGACTTGAGAAAAGTGGAGGCCGTCGTGTGGGCGTTTTTTGGCCGGACCGCAGCCGCGAATCTTAGCACTCATGCACAGCCATCCGGTGACCGGCACCCACTTGAACCATTTTTCCAATGCACGGATTTGTTGCAGGGCAAACATGATGCGCACATGCACATGCAGATGTATGGCTGGTATCTCAGCTGTGCTGCGTTCTACAAGAGTTGCTTAAGCTCCGCCATTCAAAGTACCTTTTGCTCCAAACCAAAGGCCTTGGTTCGACCGAGTCATTTCATCGGCCGAACTTTATAAAAATTCCAGGTGTACAACATGAGGCAGCATTTCCAGTCCCATTCACAAAGTGCCAGACTTGCACTCGCGCCGACCGAGGTGCCGAGAAGCGGCGCTATGTACACAGCGCAGCCTTGGGATTCGTCGGCTTGGGCAAGATCGGAAGCGGCATGGTCACGAATTTGACGAAGGCCGCTGAATTCAAAAGATACGCTACAGCGAGATACTGCTGTTTGGAAGAAGTACTGTCCTCAGTAGGCCGACAGCCGACTTCCACATCGTGCACCGCATGCCCATGCCACAATCGTCAGTCATCTCCTTGTCAGCTTCAGTTCGGTCCCGCTCGCGGAACTTGTGGTGTCCGGTGTCTGCACTGTAGATATTGCCTGCGATGTTACGGACTGAAACCTGTAACAACCTGCAGTGCAGATCAATGCAGGCCGGGGAGTCGCTTATTATCTTTGACAAAAGCCATGCAGCCGCAGAGGCGGTGGCAGGTCGCCGGACATATGCACATGCAGTATGTTGAGTTGCAGCTCCTGTAGGTTTGCTGGCGGGATCGGTGGATGGCTGGGCTTGTGCTATGCGATCAACTAGAGAGACGACATGAGACGAGATAGCTTTGTGTGGATGCTGTGTCAGCCTGCCCGTCCTCACTAACTGTGTCCACCAGATTGCTTGCGTCTCGGAGGCGAAGCGGTCAGAGCAGCAACAAGTGTGGCAGAGGCTTTACACTGACGGTCCAAGTGATAATAACGATAATAACGAGTTAGCGTCAGTCTTTTTTAAGTGGATTTGCAGAAGGACTGGTATCGTGAAGCCACGGGTTGTTTACAGTTGGCTGGACTAGCTTGGTAGGCCATGTAGGCCTAACGTCCTAAAGGCTTTGCACTGCAGGTGCCCGCCAAATTGGCATTTGCGAAATTCCGCTTATTGTCAACACTTCATGTACTGTTACGGTAGAGGTTGGAGAAGATCAGCGCCTTAAGGAAAAGAGGTGATTGAGGTCAGAGATCAGTTGCGGTATTGTGACAGTGTTGTGCTTTGGGAATCGAGGTGGCGCGGTGAAAGCTTCGGACACGTAGCCAATGTCCCGGAATGATGAAACAGTTTGGGAGTGCGGCTTGCAGCATTTTATCCGCCAGCATTGCTCTCAGTTTCAGATTCAAACAAGCCATGGAACTCAACACGATCGGAATAAATGGTCAAGAATCAGGAAGCTGCAGGGCGGTCTGAACGGACAAGGAAACCAATGCTGAGAGAGACCACCTGACCAAGTTGGTGTCGACATTCCTTCGCATGTCAGATGACTCACAAAGGAGGACCGGTGCTGGAGATTGTTTGCACTGTGGCAAGGCCTCACCAGCTGAAGTTCTTCAACTTGGAATCCGAAGTACTTGGTGTTATTCAGCAATTGTTCCAACGATGACCGAAGGAACTAAAGTTGGAAAGACATGATAAACTGAATGAGCTGCACAAGATTCTTGGAGAGGGCACATGCCTGAAGATACAAGACCTGGATCGATGAAGCAACCGGTTGCGAAGTGCGAACACGAGAGTCCCGCCAAGCAAGCCTCGAACTTGCGTGTCAGTGCCTTCGAAGAGGGATCTCGCGTGTCATATTGAACCGAGTGTGCACATGAGGCAAAACAAGAAAGCCATTGGCTGCCATCGTTGCAGTAGCAAGAACTGTGCCAGCACGGCGCCAGACGGATGTGATCTGAATGCAAGTCTACTACATGTGAAGTATGCAGCATGCGTGCCGGCACGCTGCATCGATCCCGACCTTCCATTGACATGAAAGAAGACTACTGTACCGGCTGAAAGACACAGCAGGCTTCTAATGCGTCGGAGTCACGCTGTAGCCCTTGAGGGAGGGCTTCAGTTTGCTTGTTCTGAGATGCATATTTTTACTCTACATGGCAAGGCGTTCACCGGTGAAATTGCCATTCATGCTACTCGTAGAAGTTTCAACTCGGTGTGCCGGCAAGCTCCATTTGGCGGACGAAGCCCCAACTGAGACAGAAAGAGTAGGCAAGACATGGCAAAATGTCTTTCACAACTAGTTTGGGACGCGGTAGCAAGACCTGAAGGTTGCTCAGAATGCGGAGGTGGTCTTCTCTGCATTGCCAGACGACAATGCACCTTGGCGGACCATGTCGCTGTGCTTCGCTACTGAGCTACAGCTGGTTGCACTCGTAGCTCCCAGGTGCTGCAGGCAGTGTCTTCGGAGCTTCTGCCGGCTTTGGCAGCTCGAGGCGGTCGCTTCAGCCTCAGGACGACGGAAGTGCAGACCATGTCAGACAACCCTGACGGCAAATGGTGTCAGTGCTGCAAAATTCCAGCTTTGCTCTAGCCATGCTGAAGCTGCGCTTGTCGCATGGAGATGACTCCAGCTCGTCTGTTGGTCAAACTGGATGCCATAGTTTGGAAACGCCGCAGGTTCAACAGGAATCAATGTCTTTATCGTCAGCCATGAATAGTCTTCGACAGGTGGTAGTCTTGGCAGCCAGGTCGTTGTGGAGGTCCTTTGGAATATTTCATGGCCGCGGAATCGAGAACCGCTAAGGTCAACTTGCTTTGGGGATAACGCTACGACGTGAGCGAGGGACTATCGTCACTTGGGTCTACGGTTTTGCAGAAAACCTCTTCTATGCAGTTCAGAGTGCGTGATGACAGCTGAGATCGCCGCTGCTCAAGGGAGTGGCTGCGAAGATCAATAACCCTTGTGCCATGTATAGAGCACTGTTACAGATTGCACCACACCTTTGTACAACCCCGTGGAAGCAATCGTGAGCATTTGTTCGTTGTGGAAAAAAGAATAGGGTCGCGCGCATGGCCGGTGCTCTGCATAAGCCGTGACCCCTCAGGTCTTCACGCTGTTGCTGGAAGCTGCTGTGTTTGAAGATTTCTAGGTTATGAGCGCCCAACCGCTATTTACCACTGTGCCCAATGGAGTTGGTGCTCGTGATGAGCCAGCCCCACAAGTACTGACAGGTGAAAGCGAGCCAATGCGGCCCAAGGCTGCAACAGCGAGTTCCGGAAGTGGGGTCATCTGTGACGGCGCTACTGGAATCGAGGAGTGATGATGCTGGGCAATCACCTGTGGTGTTGGAGACTGCCGAGGCGACACAGGCGGAGACAGAAGAACGTTCTCCGACGATGCCAGACCTTGGTGGGCGATCCGAGCTGCAGCCAAGTGACCCAGATCGTGCTGCGATAGACGCATCGCTTGGTTTTTCTACGCCAAGGTCGTTCTCTGGGCAGCGGGGAGCAGGACAAACGGCGTGGTTAGCTGGAATGGATGTTCCAAGATGGGTGAGCCGACTGGGAAGCCTACTACAGGTACCTGGGTCGGGTATGATGGCAACAGACTTGGCGCCGAGCCCGTTTCCAGCGGGAAGTCCGGCGCTGACGCCGCCTCCTGGAGGAACAACCTTCAGGTTACGATCTCCAAGCCGGGCGAGAGCAATACCACCAGTTCCTACACCACCTTCGTCCTCCTCAGTGCCAGCTGAAGCCATACAAGCAGAGGTGCAGAGACAGCTACAAGGAGTTATGGTACAGCTTAAGGAGTACGGGGATTCCAACAAGCAGCTTTATGATGAACTGGTGGAAACAAGAGCACGGCTTAGAGCAATTCAGGAAGGTGCGGAAGCTACAACAATGACAAGGCAACCAGGACTCTTGGGTAATCCTAATCTACCACTTGACCTTGGACCTCTATTAGGCTATCCAGTACCTCCAGAAGATGTGCCTGGTACAAGATTTGATCACCAACTACCTGAGCATGGTTGTGTACCAGCACGGGATACTCATACACTACCACCCGGTCCTACAGAACCTCGTCGTGCCAAAGAACCACATGGTAATGTTCATGGTGAGGATGGAGTCACGAGTGAGCGGCCCCAAGATTCTATGCCGAAGACATCGATGTTCTCTATGGAAGCCCCGGGACTTTTACGGACATGGTGGGATGCAAGGGCTAGGTCACCAACGCCTCCTCCTAGACCTCAGCAGTCAGAGATACCAAGTCCTACAATGCTGGATGCACTGGCTAAGGGGATACAGCAACTACAGGAACTACAAGTGCAGGCTTTATCCAAGGCTACGTCGTTAGGAGCGCCAGAAACAGTAAAGCCAGGACAGTTTCCGTTGACCCCTATGCCAGAGATGAAGGATGGTGCCGAGGCTGCACTTACATTCCAAGATTGGTTGGAAATTTCGGCCACTACTATGTCAGACATTTCAGAGGCGAGTGGGACGTGGTGGAGTGGTGTTATTGAGCAGGTGGAACAGACATATGAGCGATGGTTGGCGTCGTCACCACTGGAAAGGTTGAGTATTGAGCCTCAGGCAACCGAAGCCTGGACAACAGGACGATGGGCACGGGTGAATGCTCGTGCAGCAGCTATGATTATCAACTCAATGAACGAAAGCCTAAAGGCTGATATGGTGGCGAGACGCGCAACCCAGAATTGCGTGAAAATGATGTTTAGAGTATACACATACTACCAGCCGGGAGGAGGAGCGGAACGACACGATGTGCTGAAGAGACTGCAGAGCCCATTGGAGTTCGTGAGTGGAGATTCGTTACAACAGACTTTGCAGGCAGTACGCGCATGGCCTCGATGGATGGAGCGATGCAAGAAAGTACATATGGTGCCACCAGACCCCAGCGTACTAGCGCGGGGGTTGATGAGTCTGACAGATCGCTATATTGCTACCTCCAATGACGCAAGCTTCAGGACGTCGATGCTCAGAACAACCCTTAGGTTGGATGCAAGGCCTACGCTGGACCAGGTCTTATCGTATCAGCGACATCTTCAAGCTGAACTAGAAGTGATGCTTGCAGCTCAAAAGGATGCCTCGGGTGCCCCTTCGCAGCCGAAGTTGCGAGCTGTCGAGCAAGCAACATCACCAAAGGCCAGAGACGCAGGAGGAAGGACTCAACCTGGATCTGAGCTATGTCGCTACTTTGCAAAGGCTTCGGGATGCAAGAGGGGGGAGAAATGCGTTTATTCTCACAGTATGGCAGGAATGGACAAAGAGACGCGCTCAAAGAAGTGTCTGAAGTGCGGTTCAGAAAGCCATAGACAGCGTGAGTGCACGGTGGGAAAACCGCCGCTCAAGCTCGCGCAGCCGCCTCCAAGGGATGGAGGGAATGCCAAAGCAGTAGCAGCAGCAGTCCAGGGTACAACCCCGTCGACGCAGAGCACTATGGCGACTATGAGTACCACAAGCTCCTCGTCTTTGCCGAGTGGAGAAGTTATCCCAGGAACTCCATGGACGCTAGAGTCACTGATACAAGCTGCGCAACAAGTGGTACACCCTGCGTCAACGGACTCTGCCGGAGAAAGCTCGCCGGAAAAGACAATGAGACCTCAGATGAGAACCTTGAAGCTGAGGGACATAAGGGTGTGTGCAGCTAGTGCTTCAACAACTGCACTCGTGGATAGTGGTGCAACCCACAGTTTGAGGACGGCGAGATCAGAGGAGGAGTGGACTACCTCGTCTGAAGTTGCGGTTCAACTGGCAGGAAATCACAAGCTGGTTATGCGAATTACAGAAGCTGGTACCCTGCTGATGCCGTACAAGAAAATTGGAGCTATGGGCGAAGGCCTGGATGATTTTAAGGCTCAGACCATAGTTCCCATGGGACAGCTGATTCAAACACTGGGATACACCATGGTATGGAATAAGGAGGCATGTTACCTGGAGTCCCAAGATGGTGATCGAGTACCTCTCCATGTGGATGGTGGATGTCCTCAGTTACAGGAGTTGGAAGCTTTAGCGCTGATAGCCAGGCTGGAAGACAGAAAGATTGAGCAGCTTTCTAACTCGACGTTAACAACAAAGGATCAGTTGAAGGTGGCGGCTATCAATATGGACAAGCACTGGAACCACTATCTGTACGACTATGTGCACACAGGATCGTTTGAATCGGGGCTAAGGGCTGTCAGAGATGCACCATTCTTTCAGGACCTGCCAGGCGAGTGTATATCAGGCCTGGTACCAGGTGCTGGACTTCAGAACGGCTGGGACATCTTCAAGCTCAATGGTTTCCTGACACGTCACCAGCGGCGCAAGCTTATGAGCAGCAAGCGGTGGATTGTTCACCTGTACGCAGGACAAGTTGGTCACTGGCAAATAATGAAGCTTGATCAAGGTGACACGTCAGTGATAGAGTTGGATGTCAACAGATGCTCCGGTCATGACGTGATGCGTGATGAGACATGGAGAATGCTTCTATGGGGAGCAAAGCATGGGAAGATCGATGTGATCCTAGGGGGTCCACCAGGTAGAGCGAAGCAGCGGTGCCAGGGAGGAGAGCGGGATATCAAATCCATGACTCTTGTGGCCAGAATGATGTTCCTCTACATGATGGCGGACGTGGGACGCGAACTTAGTAGCTGCGCTATCAATAGGAACCGCGATGTGGGTTTCATGCTGGAGTATCCCGAGGGACTACATCAAGCAGAGCGAGATCGGCAAGCAATGGAGATTCAGCGGTTCGAGGAGGCTTCAAGGGTTCCAGTGGGACGAGGTGGAGTCGCTACATGGTCAGAGACCAGAGCTTACTGGGAAGAAGTACAAGAACCCCGGTGGGAAAATTATGTTGGCCAAAACTCCATGAATGCAAGAGCTTCTTTCTGGGAGACGAAGTTGTGGAAAAGGTTCCAGCGCGAGTATGGGATCCAGACAGTTTCCTTCGATCAAGGAGCAATGGGATCACAGACCAGGAATAGAACAACACTGGGTACAAACATCAGCAACCTGACTTCTTTGGATGATGTTCGTCTACCAGAAGACAGTGATGTTCCAGAGACGGGTCAAAGTGACTATGTTTGGTGTTCTGGTTTGGTCGATGCAATTGTGGTAGCCCTTCAGTTTTGGAGCCGAAATCCAAGATGTGTGCCACGACTTATGATGATGACGCCTACGCAATGGCAGGAGCACGTGGCTAGCAACCATGAAGTATACAGAAAGGAATGCGCAACTTGTGTTACCTCAAGGGGTACAGGTCGACAGCACAGACGGGTACATCATCCAGAAGCCTACGTTCTAACGGCGGATGCAGCAGGACCTCTGGCTAAGGGTCTAGATCCTACTTCAAAGGGAACGATGGGTCGGAACCTTCGCTATTTGCTGGTTGCAAAGTACACCGTCCCGAAGTCCTTCATCAAGCTGCATTCGGGGGTGGAACCTCCACCAGATGATGGCGTGGAAAAGGCGTCGAAGGACATACCTGCGCCCTTAACTG